TAACTCCATTATCATTACTAATTTCATGCAAACTCTCATTCCCAATTGTTGGTTTGAAAATGTCTTCCCTCCCTACTTTGGCATTGAAATCTCCTAACAAAATTTTCATAGGGTACTTCAGGAATTTATCAAATACATAGTCTAGTTCTTCACAGAATCTATCCTTTATGTCATAAATTTTATCTTCTGTTGGGGCGTGAACATTCAAAACAATGATATCATACCAGTGACCTTTTAGTATTATATATGATATACTATCACTAACGAATTCTACCCTCTTAACTGCTGATACAATTCTCTTATGTACAAAGAAACCTGTACCTAATTCATGATTTTCATTCCCCTTTCCATAGAAAAATGTATAGTCTCCTGCTGGTGTGATGCCACCGCCATCCCATCTGACCTCCAGTACTCCCGCTAAATCTAACTTATATTTTAAGATTTCTTCTGCCACTGCCCTGAGCGAACCTGCCCTATACAAACTTCGTACATTCCAAGTGCCAAATCTCATATCCATTTTCATTAGCTTAGGTCGTTTATCCAAGGAATCAGTCCAGGTCCGAGGCTTTGTGTTCATTGTCGTAACATAACGATTTTTTACGGTGAGGAGTTGTTATCCCCACGCCCAACCCCCAAGCTGGAGTGCCACCCCTTGTCGGCTGTCCGCGACTGCTTATTCAATATATTCACAGCTTCCCTCCAAAACTGGAGGGCGTCTCCTCCATCCGCAACCTGAGGACACGCCATACCGTGGTGACAGGTACCCACCTAACATGGCATATTAACATCTAGTGAATGCAATGTTTGTTATTATTCAGTGAACACAAATCTGGCATAAACATGGCATGTGTTTGCATATTTCAACCTATTGTGATCATCATCAGGAACAGAGCTTTTACAATCACCTTTCTTTCTATCTGCTATACACCCCTACACTGGCCAGTGTTTACACACTGGGAGTGCGTTGTACAAGTGAGAAAGTAAAGATGTTCCTGTGTTTAAAAAATTAAGCACTATACCATGAAGGTGTATGGGGGAGTGGATGTATAGATCTACATTTTCTAGACAGTCAGCTCATAGATGGTGGCAAGGTTGTCAACCCTACATGCCGGCCACCCTTTACCCCCAAGAACATTCCAAGAATATTCCTGGTACTTATTTCTGTTAGAGTCTGAGTCGACCCCAGGGCCACAGTGCAGCTGGAAGGATTAGGTAAATTGAAAAAATCCAGTGACTTCATCGGGATTTCAACCCGCGACCTTCCCACTTGTAGCATAGTGCCTCAACTAACTATGCTACCGCGTGCCCATAGTATTGGTCTACATGTGTTAAAAGTTCTGAAAACATTACTGCAGTTTATTATCATATATAAGATACAAAAGATACAGAAAATAAAAAAGAATGTATTATTCATGTTCCCTGATCTGTGTATCAAGGTTTCGATTTCCTCCTACAGAGACATCACAGGACAGGATGTACAGTGTAATAATTATACTAGTTGTTCTATACAGGTGAAAATGTGTTCCCTTACAAGAACATAAATTTGAAGCATTTGGAAACAAAATGCTTATACCTGTTTGGATCTAAGAATGTAAGTGATCAATTTTGCATATTACATAATAAGGAACTGTGTGACCTATACAGATCACCTACTGCTGACACAGTACTGAAATCTTGTATGGATTGCAATAATTAATTTTGCCAGCTAAACCGAAATGCAAGTGCAGTAAACCCTTGCTAATACAGATTAGCTCGGGAGAGGTCATCTGGATTAGTGAAGTACAAGTAAAAGGTAGCCCTAAAAGACAAAAAAACTTAGATGGAAAATTTAATGATATAAGTAGTGCTGATCAAAATAAATAAATAAATATCACTGTATAGCGTTTATTTAAAAACTATATATTCATCAATATAAGACTCAGAAGTTGCACATGTTTTTGACCGTAATAATGCAGAAGCAGGTTGGTAAGCTGAGTTTCTTGAAACTGAAGGTTGAGGTGATATGTTCCACTGAAATATTGGTCTTCTCTGAACTACATGGTATTACAAATCAGAAACTGTACACATCAAGGTTCTGCAATTTGACAGTGACATACATTTGTAATTGTAGGTTCTGTGATAAGGCTGTTTTAAAATATAAGTACTTCACAACTGTAACTTGACAGTTGAATGTTAAGGAACTGATAGCGGGACATGTTTGTACTTTTTAGGATATTGCAGTTGAATTACAATGACTTTGTTTTAATTTATAAGGATTGTTTCATACAGAATATTCTGAAGGTCTTAACTGTAATTATTATTGTTAGAAATCATAAATAAATCATTTTGTCAGTACAAAAGGGTTTTCTGTCAAGTTTGTAGGAAGCTTCTAATTTAGTTCTTGTAACCTAGTTTTCTTCCTTATGGAAATAAGAGTGTGCCTATGAGGTCACCATGCTGTCTGTGTATGTGTGTCTATCTCCTCTTTCAAATTTTTAATCAATGGACTGACTTTCATGAAGCTTGGTATGACCTTTTTATCTTTGGATACCATCTTAATGCTAGGTAAAATAAGGTGAGGTTGTCCCTGTGCTTAACTAATTAAGCACTACACCATGAAGGCATATGAGGGAGTGGATGTATAGATCCATATTTTCTTGACCTAGACACTAGTTGGAGGTGAGTGGTCAGCTTCATGCCCTGGCAATTTACTCCCAGAGAAAGAGCCCCCATTGGATAGGGTGGGTGGGCCCCAGAGCCAGCCTGGAGGAGATGGGGAACCAAAAATTCTTGACCCTACGTGGATTCAAACTCCAACTCCTCGGTAGTCCAGCCTGTAGCCAGTTACTATACCAACTGCTCTATTCAGGACTGTACATTTTAATGTCCCACACTTGGTAATAACAACATAGTGAACATGTGAACTTTCAAGGTTGGACTGACATTAGCATTGAGTCTTGATATGGTATGTGGTAATAGATTTTATAGAAACATCAACTTTTGTTAAGGTAATTTTCTGTGGAATCTAAAATAGCAACATGTTGGCCATATGAACATTTTCTTCAGCTTTAAGTTTGGTGGTGATAACTAATGTACCATTGTAGAGAGAAATGTGAAATTCCATATGCAGGAAGACCATAAACATACCTACACATTGTGTGTCAAATGCTATTTGTGTGCCAACAGTTACAAAATGGCAAAGGTGTGAAACTTTGAGTTTATATCCAGTAAACTCAATGTAGTCAGAATCTGTGTTTCAGTAGTAAGTTCCTGACAAAAATAAATTAACAACAATAATAGTAACAGATATGTATGACTATACATCTGTACAATAGGAAAGTAGGTTTCATGAGTTTGCTTTGAACTCCTTACTCAAAATATCAATATTTCAGATAATAACCTTGCCAAATTGCAATGGTTACAGGATCAAAATGAAACAAATAAGGATAAACCGAACAATTTAAGGCACAAAACCAGCAGGCATTTCAGGAAAAAAAAGAAGGGATATCTGAAAGACAAAATTTATAAGCTTGCAATGAACCATAAGAACAAAAACATTAGACACCTGTATACAGGAATAAATGACTTTAAGAGGGGTTACCAGCCTAGCAGTAACTTAGTGAAGGATGAGAATGGTGATTTGCTTGAAGATTCCCACAACATTTTGAATAGGTGGAAGAACTACTCTCAGTTATTGAATGTACATAGGGTCAGTGATGTTAGGCAGACAGAAATCCATACAGCTGAGCCCTTAATACCTGATCCTAGCCCTCTTGAGGTTGAAATTGTTATTGCAAAATGGAAAAGTTATAAATCGCCAGGTAGTGATCAAATTCTGGCAGAACTTGTTCAAGCAGGAGGCAAAATATTACATTCTAAGATCCATAAGTTAATTACTTCTATTTGGCATAAGGAAAAATTGCCTGGTCAGGGGAAGGAATCTATTATTGTACCAGTTCACTGACTGTAGTAATTATCGGGGGATATCACTTCTATCAACTTCATACAAAATTTTATGCAGTATTCTTCTCTCAAGGTTAAATCCATAAATAGATGAAATTATTCGGGATCATCAGTGTGGATTTCGATGTAACAGATCAACTACTGATCAGATCTTTTGCATTCGTCAGATATTGGAGAAAAAAATGGGAGTACAATGAGACAGTACATCAGCTATTTGTAGACTTCAAGAAAGCCTATGATTCAGTTAGGAGGGAACTATTGTACAATATTCTGATAGAGTTTGGGATACCCATGAAACTAGTTGGGCTGATTAAAATGTGTTTAAACGAAACGTAAAGTGCAGTCCGTATAGGTAAACATTTGTCCGATAAATTTCCTATCCAGAATGGTCTAAGACAAGAGATCCTTTATCAGCACTCCTTTTCAAATTGGCTTTAGAATATGCCATTAGGATGGTCCAGGAAAACCAGGTGGGACTGAAATTAAACAGGACACATCAGCTGTTGGTCTATGCTGATGATGTGAATCTACTGGGTGATAATATAGATACCATAGAAAAACACACTCAAACTTTAATTGACGCAAGTAAGGATGTTGGTCTAGAAGTCAACACAGAGAAAACTAAGAATATGTTGCTGTCTTGTGACCAAAATGCAGGGCAAAATCATGACATAATGATAGTAAACAGATGTTTTGAAAATGTGGCACAGTTCAGATATTTGGGAACGACGATAAGAAATCAAAACCTGATTCAGGAGGAAATTAAGAGGAGATTGAACTTGGGTAATGCTTGCTACCATTCAGCCCAGAACCTTTTGTCTTCTCGTTTGCTGTCCAACAAAATAAAAATTAGAATATACAAACTATAATTTTGCCTGTGGTTCTGTATGGGTGTGAAACTTGGTCTTTGACATTAAGGGA